CACCGCAACAGCATGCCCATAACAAAGCTTGGTATTATTTTCCATTCCTGCCCTAGCTTTAGTTGGCAAAACTGGGACAGAGAGAAATTACGCCAGTAGAAATAGGAAAATACGGCATGACAGAGCCCTGCATTGGGATCAATCTGATGGGCATTGCTAGAGGGACTTCCATGCAGGGGCCAAAATGCGGGGTCCAAAAGGAAACAAATATTTGGCACAGTATGGGATTGGTTTCACACTGCAGCATGACTAGCACATCAGACCCTGGGATTCTGGCTAAAGAAAAGTCTTACTGCAGAAGCAAGAAGGAAGTCACCACCTTTGTATATCTGGCCTCTGCCCTGCTTAGTTATACATTTCTAGTCAAGAGAAGCACCACGACTGTCCAAAGTACCAAGCTTTAAAAGGACAAACATACAGATGTGCAGACCACTTGCTGATTTTCTAGACTTCCAGTGTTTCTAGGGTCGTGTTGCAAGCAGATCTGAACGCTTTGAACACAGCTCCGGCAATACCAAAACATGCCAAACCTGGAAAGGACCACATTTGTTTACATCACATCCCTCTCAGGTTGTAGCAGCACATCACACATAGTATTTGAGGGAAAGGAAGCCACGGCCCCTGCCTAAGGCGAATAAGTGGCTGCCTCCCTACAGCATTTCCCCAGCCATGGGCACAGAAGCTGCTGTCCAGCACTCAAGTCAACATGAGAAATGTGCGTGTGTGTGTGTGTGTGATGTTGCCGCTGAATTGTTGGTGCAGTTCAGCATCTGGAGGGAGGGAAGTCGAAGACACCCTGCGGAGAATGTTACATCCTCTTCTTCTCCTTCAGTCCCTATAACATGAACAACCTCTTTCTGTGCTCTGAAAAATAGCAACATGTCCACACTTTATGAAAAAACCAAGTGTACGAAACGTAACCGTTGATTCTGACTACCGAAGAGTGGGTGGGTGAGATTGCTCACAGAGCTGCGTGTGGTTTTTGGTCAGAGACTGGGACAGGAAAGGTTGGGTGGCAAGGATCTGCTGGCCATCTGCTGGCCATTCTTCCTTTGCACCCCATATCCAACGAGACCAGCATCCAGTTCCTCTGGTGAAAGATCTCTGCTCCCAACAGACAAGCATCCTAGAAGGGGAAAACAGCCACACACAAAGGTCAAAGAAGCTTCTCCCCAGGCCGCTGCGCCTGGACTCCCCCTAGCTAGCCTGGAAGGGGGCGCTGAGGAGAGGAGGGTGTGCACGAAGGCAAACCTGCACACCCGGTACAAACAGACGTTTCTAGAGAGTGACTTAGTGATACCCTGAATTGCAGCACTAGCCCTGGCCCATCATTAGAAGCCTGATGCGCAGCAGCATAGAAGCGAAGGGTGATGCGTATCCGGCATGAAGTCTCTATATGAGCCAGGAATGTCAAAGAACGATGGCAGAGGGGGCAGTTGCTTGCCCTGGAGAGTGGGTCAGGCGTCAGGATTTCCTCTGTTTCTCATCAATGTGGTATAAATGGTGGGTATGCAGGGTGAACGCGGGGCATTCCTTCTCAGCCTACCTGTCATGATCTGTGTAGGACTGGGAAACAAACACTAGTGTGAGCTGTGGAACTGCGTTCTCTTCTCTACTGTTATAATGGGTTAGAATGGATAAAAGGAAGTACTTCTTCACCCAAAGAGTGATTAACACATGGAATTCACTGCCACAGGAGGTGGCGGCGGCTACAAGCATGGATGGCTTCAAAAGGGAATTAGATAAGCATATGGAGCAGAGGTCCATCAGTGGCTATTAGCCACAAGGTTTAGATAGGGGCTCTGGGGCAAGTGATGCTCTGTCTTCTTGGTGCTTGGGGGGAGGGGGTCAACAGTGGGAGGGCTTCTAATGTCCTGGCCCCACTGCTGGACCTCCTGATGGCACTGGTATTTTTGGCCACTGTGTGACACAGAGTGTTTAGGCTGGATGGGCCTTTGGCCTGATCCAACGTTGGCGTCTCTTATGTTCTTATGTACTGTGTTCTTTCCACTCACAGAGTAAACTGAGGGGACAGTATGGTCTGAGAGAAAGATCCTTCACTTGGGAGAAAGTGAGTACAGGCACAGACGCCAGGGGTCATTTCCTAGAAAAAGAGATGCAGGAGCTCATTTGCATAACTCATTTGCATATGTCACACTTCCCAATAAAGGGCAGGCATGTTTAAAATGAGTTAAGTCATATGCAAATGAGTTTAAATCCCCCCCCCATTTCCCTGAGTCTCTCCCCAAAAGCAGAGAGGCTCAGGAGAAAAGGGACCATGTCTGCCCGCCTCCCCTTCCCCTGCCATGGCGGGCTGGCTGCAGAGGGGAAGGGCAGGGAGGCGGATATGCCTCCAGGTGCTCCAGGAACCCAGGCATTTAAATCCCCTCCCTGAGTCTGTCCGCAGGCAGGAGAGTGGGGCCTGGGCTCCTTACTGGCGGAGTCCTGCTGTGGGGTGCTCCGGCAGGAAATGACTCCTGCACAGGCCTAGTATTATAAGAGGCTGTGGGCCTTGAATAGTAACCCGTTAAGTGAAAGATTTATTTTACCTTTAGACACTGTTATGTATTTTAAGCACCTTGTCTTGTTTTCCTTGCCCCATGACTGTATCAATAAACCATTTGTTTCATGTTCTGTGCCTGATCATCATGCCTACATTTCTCGGCTTAAAAGGGGCAGTTTGGTTGGGCTTGGGAGGGTACTCTGGGCTTTCCCAAGGGACCCTCAGTCCAGAGTGGTGGCAGACAAGGATGGCAACCCACAGGGGGTCATGACACTACATTGTGTCAGGATCCACAGCAAAGCAAAGACGTACACACTTCCAGGAAGGTTTTACATTTATTGAAAAGCCATAGATGCAGTAACATGAACACTGTTAGGAATGGCGGGTTACCTATACGCATAATAGGTTATAGGGTTTTCGTATGCACCCCCCCACACACATAGCGCCCAATTAGATGGGCTCCCGTTCACGGGCATTTGGCAGAATTCTAACGGCTGCAGTAGCTTGGGAATGATAGAAGCTTCTCACGGAACCTAGACACACCAACTCCTCCAGTGGCCTTGAAAGATATACGTTACAGTGAAGATGCAATTAAGCACATGGGAAGGAATGCAAAGCAATTAAAACATACACCACACTCATGGCAGCATAGCTGACACATTGTCAACCAACCATAATTGCCTAGTAAGTGGTTTATGTCAAAGATTTCAAAGACATTTGTTTGATTTCATGGGGCCTGCCCCCCCCCCTTTTACAAAATGTCATTTATGGTGGAAACAACAGGAGGATCCACCACCCCTTTCCACGTTGCTACTCATCAGGTTCAGGGCAGACAAGATGAAGGACTTTAGTTTTTAGAGTCTGTCATCTCTAGCCTGCTCTTGGCCATTCTTTTTCTCTCCTCCTTTCCCTCTCCTCAGCTAGCGATGCAAGCCACGGATCTCTTCAGGAAGCACCACCCTTCCTCTAACAAGCAGGGTTAGGCAGCACTTCCTGAAGATACCCGAGTCCCTCAGATTACAGCTGGAGGAAGGAAAGGAGGATGGCAAGACGGCTGGTGGGGAAGGACGGGGTGGGCGTGAAAGCCAGCTCCACTGGGGCAAGAGGTGCTGCCCCTGTCACAGCATTCCCAGTACCACTTGTGCCGTGAATTTCCTAAAACTGGGTTGAATAAGGACTGGGAGACTTGTACTTTTGGAGAGGTGGTGAAGGAATCACACACCCAGCTGATGACATGAACTTGCACCTGGCCAGTGTTTTCCAGAGTGAACAGTTTCACTTCAGCAGCCCCGACTGTAGCAACTTTCAGCTCTGAGATGCCAGGGACATCTGCTAAAGAAACCCAGTGACAGTTGGAACGTATGCAGGTTTTTCGTGACCTAAGCCAAGAGATTCACTAATCCCACCCCACTATAGCTCAGAGCAAAGGCCTGTGCAGTCAGCAGCCTTGGAACATGCTTCTCCACTAGCATAGCCGGTAAAGGGGGGGGGGGGGTTTGACTCCGAAGCAAAAAAAAAGAAGTTTTCAAGGATCACTGGGTTTGACCACGGTTCATTCTCATGTTCCCTTGGAGAAACTCTCGAGCAACAACAGAAGGCGCCTGGTCTCTCCGCCCCCCCCCCATCCTCCAACCACCCTTCTCCCTTTCAGCAGCTCCAAGCAGGAGAGGCTGGGGCCAGTTGCGGGTGATTCCCCTAACCCAAGTCCTTGCAAGAGCAAATGCATCCCATCTTCACTCAGGGGCTGCTTGGTCAGTTATACTGCACCATCCGGATCCCATCCCACAAGTCCAAGGAACAAATCCCATCCCACAAGTCCAAGGAACAAATCCCATCCCACAAGTCCAAGGAACAAATCCCATCCCACAAGTCCAAGGAACAAATCCCATCCCACAAGTCCAAGGAACAAATCCCATCCCACAAGTCCAAGGAACAAATCCCATCCCACAAGTCCAAGGAACAAATCCCATCCCACAAGTCCAAGGAACAAATCCCATCCCACAAGTCCAAGGAACAAATTCCTTGCAGTCCAAGGAACAAATTTGTTAATCGTTCATTTATTCTGGGATGAAAGTACATCCACAAGCAGAGCACTCCCCGAAACAAACCTGGCTGGATCAGATGTGGACCGAGTGGGTCCATATTGCTGCTTTGATCATTCTTTATCTATGCTGCTCATCAGGAAGATTCAGGCAGCCACAGGTCAGCCACAGGTGAGCCATAGGCGATAGGTGTGATGGGTGACGCTGACCAAGAACAAAATGATCCTGACTATCTTAAGCACTGATCTGGAAGGGGATTAACTGTTACTTTTGGGGACACAGGTGCTGCACCCACATGCATGTGTGTGTGGGCACAAGGGTTCAAAAAGTGTTTTTCCCATGAGGTGGAAGGTTTTGGGATGAGGACAAATGGTGTATCTTCCTCCTCTCTCGTAGGTACCTACCACGACCCATCCTGATTCTGTTGGTTCCCACCAGCCTCTAACTCCTGAGCTATGCTGATCCTATCCTGTCCTTCCAAGTTGCAACTGCTAGAAGGGATTTTGCGGAAATGTCTTCCCCAGACCCTTTCGGTAAACTTAAATTGCTAAGAATTTTAGTGTGGAAACCATGTACTTTAAATGTGTGCATTACTCATCAAAAAATTAGGATTGGCTGCAGGTTCCTTCTATATAGATCCTGGGGGTAAACCTGGGGTTCATGCCTTGTCATGTGTAAAGTCTATGTGCACAGGGTGAGTGCTCAAGTTTGTGGTGCGCCAGAAAACGTTCTGCCAAAAAACAAATCATGGGATGTGTCATTCCTTAGGACTAAGTGCCGGTTTCCATGCATGTTGACTGGACCACAACCAATAAAAGACAACCTGGAGGTTCAGCATGAAGTTTGAATGCAGAGTGTGGAAGTGAGCACTGAGAAAGAATTGTAGAGTAGCACATACCACCAGATTTTCTTTTTCATTTCAGAAATCCATCCATCATTCACCATTTGATTTGCCTACTGAGCAGAGCCAGACCTACTTCCAGAATTAAACAAAGTTGCCACAATATCTCCAGTGGGGCTAGCCATGATTGGTGGTGCACACTTTAAATTTGACAGTGCAGGGAGGACACAGCAATGCGTTATTGATACTACTACTATTTGCAAATATCATGTCAGAAATAGGCAAATACCAAGTAGGAAACATAGGACATCAGAGTCTGACAGAACCACTCCAACCAGAGTCCCCCCTCATTCTGCACTTCAGTACCAATTCTCACTTATGATTCTTGACAGGTCCATGGAGCAGTCATGCACATAAACCGTGGGAACCCAGCTGGGCATGAAGTGCTTGTGGATTCATGGCCAAAGTTCAAAGCTGTCCTTACCCGGCCATGCAGAGAGGTAACAGCCTTCAAAGTTTCTATGGGACACACTACATGGGATTCCAGCAAGGAATGTGATATGGAAGATTCTTTCCTATCAAGCCAGGCTTGAATGGAAAGAGACGAAGTGTCAGCTATTGTTGCTAGGGGGAGAGCCAGGACTCAGAATGTTGACCCTTTCCCAAACACTTCACCCACACGTTAGGGAAACCTAGGATTACCTTCTCACAGGTGTATTACTGCCTTCTCCTAAATGTATGTGTTTGTTTGATATGATTCTTGGTCTCCCAAGGGCAGGCAGAATAAACAGTTTCCTCTCCCATGCTAGTGAATGAAAGCAAAGCAAATCCTAAAAGCCATGTGTGATATTATGGCCCTGGCATCTCAGACTCATCCTTCCTTATTGGGGTGGCAAGAGTCGATGCGCGGCAAAATCAGTTAGCCGCTTGAACTGCCACTCAGAAGGTCCGAAGGTCATTGGCTCCGTAGACTCAATCCCGCCCACACTAGCAGCACCCGTGAAAATTTGCCTCACACTGTTCCTGACTCCCTCAGACGACGGACAGTCCAACCCGCTCTGCTCACTTAGGAGGAGGAGGAGCTGCTGGGGGGGGGGGGGCCGAGGGTCGACGGGCTTCCCTGGCCCACTGGCCTTGCTGGGCTGGTGGGGAGGCCCGATTGGCCTCAGGGAGGGGGAAAACGGTCACACAGCCCTTCCCTATCGCGGCGCAGCCTGCCCCAGAGACGCCGCAGGCCCTTCTCCGGGGGGGGGAGGGCCCCGCCGTGCTTCCCTGCACCGCCTAGACTGGCCTCGGGGAGTGGGGAGAGGGTCACAGCTGCACTTCCCTGGGCAGGCCTGGCCTGGCCCAGGGAGGCCGCGGGCCCTTTTTTGGGAGGGGGAGGACCCCACCGGGATGCTCTGCGCTGCCCCCGGCCTCACTGGGGCGGCCCAACGGCTCGGGGAGGGAAGCCTGGCGGCCTGAAGATGGATTTGAGCGGCGGTGGCGGCACCTGGCTGGGAAATGCGGGTCCGCTCCGGGAGGGCCTGGGCATCTGTTCTTCCCCTCGCTGGCGCTGGCCTGTCTCTGGGGCACTCTCTGGGGCTGGGGGTTGCAGAGCCCCCCCCCCGGCAACTTCTGAGGCTGGCTCGTGGCCACTGAACAGCTTCGAGCCCGCCTAGCTGTGCCCTGCAAGGGCCGCCTGGTAGGCAGGCAGGCAGCCAGCCAGCTGCAGCGGAGGAGCCGTTTCGCCTCTGAGGAGAGAGCCTGGCCAGCTGCAAGCCTCCTCCCGCTAGGCCGTCGAGTCGGTCGGCCGGTGCTTGCAGCAGGAAGGGGGCGCTTCTTTGGGAGGGAGGCGGGGCACGCGAGTGCAGGCGACCCCCTCCCCAGTCTTGTGGGGGGGAGAAGCCGTTGAGGGCAGAGGCTGCTGCAGTCCATGGGGGGTTGTTGCAGTGGATGGGGGGCCGCCGGGCTTCCCTGCACAGCCTCCCTGCCTCGCTGGCCCAGCGCGGCCTGACTCGGCTCGGGGAGGGGGGAAAGGGCGGCACCATGCTTCTCTGCACCGGCCATGAGTTGCACTCACTCAGCACCTCTTCCTAGAGCTCATCGCATTCATTTTTGCAACGGGCCTTTCTTCTAGTCTTATATAATCAGCCGCACAAGGCCTCCATGTGGATAAAAAAGCCACACAATAGGGGCAGCAGCAACTGCAATTTTGTTTCTGTAAGCACAAACCAACTGCCAGTTTTGCAGAAAAATCTAAACAATTATTTTAAATTAACTAGGTGGTATCAAACTCCAGTAAAATTGAATTATGCACACCCAAATATACAACCCTTATGTTGGAAACAATGTGCTCAAAAAGGTACGTACTTCCATGTCTGGTGGGAGTGCCCTCTTATTCAAGATTTTTGGATCAAAATTATGTATCAAATCAAAATTATTACTACACTAGGAAAAAGGCCCGTTATGGAACTAAATACAATGGCCTCTAGAAAGAGGCTCTGGGCAGGTGCCCCGGCCTTGGACACTCAGTGTCAATTTGCTGTGGCGACCTCAGCAGGGTATAATGAGTAATGACACCGAGTCCACCATTTTCTCCAGAGGAACTGATCTCTGCTACCTAAAGAACAGTTGTAATTTTGAGTGATCTCCAGCCCTCACCTAGAGATTGGCAACAATGGTTCCCCATAAGGGAATGGTTGGTTTGGAGGGTGGAGTCTATGGCTTTGTACCTGCCCGAGGTCCCACGCCTCCTGAAACCTCACCCTCTCCAGGCTCCATCCCTCACCTCTCCAGGAATTTCCCACCTGGAGTTGGCAACCCTATCTCCTTCCCAGCAAATCATCAACCTACCTTCCCAGCCAATCATTATGTCCCCCTCCCTCTTCAGCTTCCCCCCCATACATACCTGCAGCCTCTCCCGTGCTCTGAAGCCCTGACTGCTACGTCACATTGGCTGTCATATGGGGGCCACCTCAGCAGCATATAAGGATACAACCATTTTCTCCAGGGGAACTGATCTCTGCCATCTGGAAAGCAGTTGTAATTCTGAGTGATCTCCAGCCCTCACCTGGAGATTGGACACATTTTACCTCAGAACAGCAAAACTGTTTAGAATGTTAAAGACAAAAGTCAACCAAGTCGCATATGCAAACGACCTCTGTTCCGAGGCAAAGGCCAGTGAGGCTGCATATGCAAATAACCTCTGTGTTCTGACTGGCTATGGGGGGGAGGATTAGCAAACTTTAGAATGTTGGAGGCAGGACTCAGGCAAAGCAGCCAGTGAATGACAGATCAGAGAGCGAACTGATTTTGGAGCGTGTGGAATGTTCTAGAGAAGTGCCACCACAATTCGGCTTTTATTTATAAGGGAGATAGGGACCATTGTTTATAATCGGGTTTCCTGAATATTTACTGAATCTGATTGCCCTACGGAAATTGGGGTTCAGGAATATTGAGGAATACCGATATTTTTCAGGTTCAGTATACCTGAATCCGAAAAATACCAATTTTTTGCACACCCCTAAAGGACACTTTAGATCCAAACCCATATATACAAGTGGTCTAAACAGGATATAGAGCACTTTCATTCAAAGTGATGCATGACATACAATCATACCACTTTGTAGTGTGTGAAGCAGTCCTAAGAGCAGAGCAAAACTGTAGAATGCAAGAGGACAGCTTGTCACTCTTTGAATGAAAATAATGTGTTCATGTAATGTAAAGGTTGTTTTAAAAGGTTCATCACTGTGGGAACTCTAAAACTATATATAATATGATAGCATTGCAATGTGAGTAGCTATTCTGTTGTACAACATTCTGTCATCTGATTGTTTGACATCTTTCTTAAGTATGGCTTCTAGATAGACTGCCCGAATGTCATCATACAAACTACAGTGTAGTTTGTTGTTCTGTATTTGAAAAATTAATTAAAATATTTTTTAAAAAAGACAACCTAATTGGGTGTTTATGAAAACCATATTGGTAACAACATCTCCACATGCATGGACATCACACAAAAACCTGGCATTCGGGCAGCACATTTTGTTGCCCTTGTGATCCAAAATGATACCTACTATTGTGTTAGTGGCTACCACCACCAAAATGAGGAGGAGGAGGTGGTGGTGGTGGTGAGGGGGCAGGGAAGCAAAGCCAGACCAGAATGGTGGCAGAGGGAATGCGGCGAGTCGGGAGGGGGGCAGAAGGAACCAGCAGGAGGGCCGGAAAGTGGAGGCAGAGCCCATGGGCAAGCAAAGGGGAAGCGACTGGGAGGGAAGTGGATCCGGCAGGGGGTGTCATTTCCCCTCAGCATGGACAGGGGAGAAAGTGAGGTGGTGGGGAAGAGATAAGGAAAGGCAGATGAGTACCAGGCAGTAGCAGAGGAGCAAGGGGGAGAAAGGCAGCAGGGTGGGTGGTAGAAAGAAGCAGTGGGAGGATGTGGGAAGTCTACTAGGGTGGGATGTCCCCTCCCCTGCCAGTTTCTCAGTGGTTGGTCTCTGTCAAGTATTGACTCGATTCAGCTTTATTAACATTAACATCAGAATAACACACACACACACACGACAGTGGAACATAGCTCCCTTTTAAACTATCCCGGGCTGATGTAGCCACGCCCTAGAATAGTTAAGGACCAATAGCATTGTTACAATAATGTCCAATCAGGTTTGTTCCCTCCAGCACAGTTCTCTTGCATCTGATTGGTTACACTTACGCATTAGCCAATAGGATTGTTCCAGCTTAGAATCCTGGCTAAGGTCTCAAGCTTAACATTACATTTAATACGGTGAATACATCACAATTCCTCCCCCCTAAAATGGAACAATTCCCTTGCAGATATAATCCTTAAGATAGGAGGGGGCACACCTGTTTCGTTGGGACCTTCTAAGCATTTCAGTTTCTGGAGGTGACACGACTTCGGGAGACTCACTGTCTAGTGCGTCCGGATAACCCTCAGTTGTGGGACTGACGTCCTGAGTCGGGGTCCTCCTTTCTCCAAGGTCAGGGACAGAGGGTGGCACTTGGGGAGGAATTATCTCAGTTACACCTGCTAGAATCTGCTCCTCTTCCCCGCCCACTCCCCCTTCAGCCACTCTGCCCTGTCAGAATTCCTGGCAAATGGCTTTGTCTCTTTGATGAAGACACTTCTCCTGCTTGCCTTCTGTGTGGGACTTAACTTTTCCCTTAGTGGCTGTTGGTAGGTGTAACGAAATGGCAGTTACCTGTGTTTGTAAGATGGCTGCTGGGCTGCTGTCTGTGGTTGTTTGTTTAAAATGTTCCGCCATAAAGTTTAATTGAGTTGTAGTTCCAGAGAGGTCTCACTCACTGGGTTGAATGGGGCTTCCTCATCTGCTGGAATACAGTTCCCAGCTGCCCCAAGGCAGAAAAGGGTGGGGAAATGGACTGTCCCAATGCTCAGGGTGGCATCAATACAGACTGCAGCCCATCCAGGGAGGAGGCCATCTTCGTCCTTATAAAGTACTGGGTTTGCCGTATGGAGGACTCATACTACGACATGCAG